AAACCCGTTGCCGCAACCATGGAGATTTGTCCGGGTGCATGTTTTTTGCATTCCTAGTGCCCGTCCTTCATCATTGTTCTATAAAGCATGTGCACTTTGATATGCAGCGGTTTTGTTTGGGCAGGCTGGCGCTACATGGAGGAACCCAAAGGAACCAGAGGGATCGTGCAAGCCAAAGCACCCAAATCAATGCTTGGGAGGGCATCTCCTTCAAGCCTTCGACAGCCTGCCTTTTGATAGTCAGGTGATGGCATTGAATATGCCAGGATCCCTTGCTTTGTGCACTTGGGTAGTAGGGTTTTATCAGGCTGTTGTCTTTTCAGATTCCAGAGTGTTTGGGATTTGAGGGAACGCACCTTGTAAACTTCAAACCACAAACTCAAACCACCACTTAGGGGAAGCTGGGAAATGGACATGGCTGACAGAGATTCTAATCGCCACCTCAATCGCTTGGAGGCCGAGGGTTTTGGTGGGCACCATTGGGCGCGAGGCCGCCGCCCGCGGAGCGAAGAGAAGTTGGTGGCAGCGACTGCGATTCCTGGCAGATAGCTTTGGGTTGAATAACGTGAAGACAAAGAATCGAAGGAAAAGGAAGAACAAAAAGGAGATGAATAATGGCTCGTGCAATCCCGCTCGCGACAAAGTAAATCCGGCCGCCACCCATTCCATATGACCAGGGCTCCTTTTGGCGTACGTGAGCAACTTGGCACAGTTGATTGCCAGACTTGATTGTCCTTGATATGCTTGTTTGCTGGGTGTTCTCTTGGTGTTCGTTGGGGAATCCAATTGCATAAAGGCAATTCTGAGAGGAGCAGGATCAACCTTTTGTACGAGACAAACCGTGGCGTCACTATCATTGCCTGGCAGTCGCCAAAACGGCACCCGATCTCGACATCTGTGCGGGTCACATCCTCTCACGCCCAGGCCGCTTCTTCCATGCGGAGCTATGACAGCAGCTATGAGAGATGCTGAAAGAAGATCGCGGAGCGCAGAGCGCAACCCACCTCAAGCGGGAATCGCTTGGCGTGTGAGATAGGGGACCCCTAAGTTGGGTCAGCCTTTTGGTAATCCGCTCTTGGCATGCCGGCGGGTTGCTGATGAAGGCGGAGTTGACGAGCCGGCTTGGTGCAAATCGATTTTGCGAAAGTGAGCCCAACGTCGCCTCAAGTGTCCTTTCGTCAAGACTGGGAGAAACGGAAACAGGACGCCAGGACGCCCCTCACAATGCCAAAACGATGCGGCACGTCTCCAAGCAGGAGTTTATCTTTCGCTTACCCATCAGTGCCTGAGTTGTGGTGCACTGAGATGAAGCAGTTTCCTATGACCCAAATGTTGATGCCTATAGCCTATAGCCCCTGTTGTGGATCTTAGTGTTTGCCACTCCCAAAGCAACTAGCATGGAGCCTGAATCGCACCCGGCTTTTCGAGGATGCGTTTTGGATATGTTTGGAGGACAGTTCTCCGCTTCATTGCGCGCATTCAACCTGAGGCCTGGGGCATGAGCACAGCCTAGCCGGCAGCCCCAGGAAACGGCCCACGCTGCAAGCGGACGCTCTTCCTTTCGCCAGAGTTCATGTTTGTGGTCTTGGTTTCGGCGCGCGTGCGTGAATTTCTGGGTTTTGTGGCTTCCTGAAATCCAAAAAACGAACAACAATTCCAAGAGTACTGTTGTTGGGCACTTCCAATCGGTCCAAGCAGCTGCCAGTGGGAGAGTAATCGTGTTGTAGGTTGGTGCTGCTTGTCAAGTTTTCCCACCAAGAAGCCTTTGGTTGCCAGGGCTTCGAGTGGCTCCCGTTGAACTGATCCATCAGCTGATGAGACCGATGGCTTTGCAGTGCACTCTGTTGGAGAAAAGCCTTGAGCAGGGCAGGATAAAACTATGATCATGCTTGAAAGGCAAAAGTTAGCCGACCTCCAACGTGCTGTCAGTGTACCTCAAGCCTTGATTATTGTATGCTTCGGCAGTGCTCATTTGACGGCTGCCAAGCACACGATAAGAGCCGTCATGGATCGCTTATCTTTGCCCGGAATGAAGCTTGATTCGAGGGTAAAGGCTGAACTTCAACTTTGAAGGCCTTGGCGCACTGTGAATTGCAACAAACTTTGGTTGATTGATTGTGCTTGGCTTGAAGCTGCAGCTTGATGCCTTGGCCAATCGGCACGTTTCTTTTGTTTGGAGGGAGGGGGTGCGAGTGCGAATTTCATGGTCGCAAGCATGCTGGGAGTACACGCCCCCCCGCGTCTGCCACGCTGCGAGGGCGCAATTTTCCCGGAGTGGTATGCTGGCAATGCCGGGAGGCGAGTGATTGGGACCGAGGAAGGTCAAAGCTCTCTGCATCCCCAAATCCTTTGAGAGATGTGAGGTTGCACTACTGGCAAGGGACCACACACCATCCTGTTGGCTTACCTTCCTTTGGATCTTCCAGAAGAACACATCATGTGCGACGGGTGGTGGAGGCCAACATGGATGCCTTGTAAATTACTACTTGTGTGCAGTAGCCAGCAGCTTTTGGCAACGGTTCATTCCTACTGGTTTTTCAGGTAAAGCTTGGCAAGCAGGCCTTGTGCAACAAAGTTCGTAATCAATTGGTCATACCCAGGTCGAATCGGGGACCATACCTCCACGGACCACCCGAGAGTTCTGCCGTCTTTCGACTTGACACATCCTCACGACGGGCGAGCGCGATCAAATTCAATGCTCGAAGATTCTGGGGACTTGCTAATTAGAGAAGGCTCCGGTGCTTACTGACAGCAACAGCATGCCTTACTGTTCTGCGTTGTGTGTGTGCGCGCTCGTGCGTGCTGGTGTTCCTTTGCGTGTGTGGGTGGGTGTGCGACAGCCTGCTCCTGCTTTTGCATAGTCTCTGCATAATGTTGCAATTCGTTTCCAACAACCAACTAAACATGAACAAGTCCCTGAGGCTGACTTGTCCTTTCCGATTCCACTGCAGGAAGTTTCAAGTTTGATCAGCCCCGATGGCATCGCAACACCATTTAATTTGGTGCCGGTGACAGATTAAGCCTTAGGCCAAGCATGAGAAGTGCAAGGGTTTCTTCCAGGGCGCCATGGCCGTAAGCCAAGCAGTCACTAGCGATCAGGTGGCTGGCAGCCTCCTCCCGGGAGCTGCGAGTGCTGTGCACCGAGACCAGCGAGTTTGAGGCCCTCAGCTTGACTTCGCCCCGGAAAACATCGCTTACGCCTAGTACCATGGAACCTGACGGAACCTGACGAAACCTGATGGGATGTTTGGGCTTATTTTGTTGTTTCTATTGGCCTGGATGGACTTTTCCCAATAGCTATGGGGTCCTAGCCATGTTTGGGTTTGGGGGTGATCCTGTTCCTAGGTTCCGGGAGGTTCCGTGTCGGGGATACTCCTTGGGCTTCTAGGATTGTGACGTGTAGCTTTGCCGCAAGCCTCGGCTCAAGCGCCTTTCCCTTCGCTCCTTCGCCTCTCGCAACTAGCAGCGTTTGCAAAGATGCGTGAGCTCGTGCATGTGCAGGGTGGACAGTGCCTTTGCTATCGAACTTGGTGTCCCTAGCAAGCAAAACAGCTTTTGCGTTGGGGTGTTTGAAGGCCAACCCCGCGGATTGTTTTGTCGTTTTGTCTTTTGCCAGCAGTACGTCTCCCTTTTGCCTTGGTTCCCAGTTGAGACATAGAGGGTTCGACTTTACTCACAAGTCCCATGAAACTACTGGGCGGGGCGTTCAAGTCGACCCCTCCAGTTTTCCAGGGGTCCCTCAGTAACACTTTGGATTGAAAGGAGTCCAATGAGTAAATCTTAAATTGGGGACCAAACCGGGCTTCCTTTGGCTTCCTCGAAAACCCCTCCTCAAAAGGGTGGCCTCCGACCAATATGCCCGTGGCAGAAGGAATAGCATGAAGACCTAGCTGCACCATTAATTCTCCTCAATCGTGTTTGGCTTCAGCAGCTTCAAAGCCTTTGCTCGGATGTTTGTAGGTAGAACCTGCAACCCTCAAGGCTGAAATGTGGATCGCCAAACTGGCTCACGCGTTCAAGTTGAAACTTTCAAACTTGTTGGAGGGTTGCTGTGAACGAAAGGTGATTCTCAAGGGCAGAAGCTTTGTCAACAGTTCCTTTGGTTCCCGGAAGGACCCATACTAGTCCACTGGGTTTGCAGTATTATGATGGCCTTTAAGATGCTCAACTTCCTACATTGGTTGCAACTTTGCAACCATGGGGAAGAGGGAACCAGCCCTAGTTGCCCCCCACTTACGGGGACTCAACAAGGTTGGTTACCCTCCAAGGGCTCGACTCAGAGGTGCGGCAACCAGATCGGCGCCAAGTTCTGGGAAGTGATCGCGGATGAGCACGGCATCGATCCCACAGGCAGGGGGTTAGGCGCTTGGCCGAGGCCTTTGCGCTTTGAGGTTCGCTGAACATGGACCTGAACACACATAACATATCATTCGCGCTTTCGCGCAAAAGCTGAGGGTGGTTGGGACATGACCAAACAAGCAGTCTGGAGTACCAAGAGTTCTTGTTACGAATACGGCCATTTTGGAGTGTCAAATGCCAGGGCGTGATGCAAAGATGCTCAGGGAGCACATTTTGCCGTTCCATTTTTGCATCGTGGCCAGGCACCTACCACGGCGATTCGGACTTGCAGCTGGAGCGGCGGCTAAGCTTTTCAGAGAAGTCGTCACCGTCGCCTTCAGGCCCAAACCTGCCAAGTACACAGGACGCAGGTTGTTATGTGTATATATATAATATATTATATATATGCATATTGCTTAAGCATCAACGTAAGACCCGTTGGATGCGAGGAAAGGTTTGTGGTCATACGAGTGAAACCGAGACCCTCCAAAATGGCCCGGGCAAGCCCCGCCCTTTATGCGCTAGTCCTCATTTAAAGGCCGCCAAGTTGCAAGGCACATGTGTCGCAGGTGTGCGCGTGTTTGCGCAACTTGCGCGTCATGATTCGAAAGAGCTATATTTGGGTAGGGCGCTGCCTCTTTCCACGACTAGTCTCCCGTTTTGAAAGCACAACTAGGCATGGTTTGCGCAAAGCATAGTCATCCATTCTTAGCAGGCGCGGCAGGGGCCGATCCAAGACTGTTTTTTCTTTGTTTACCTAAAGGCCAGAGTTGCTGCTGGAACAAGTGGCTCACTCATGATGCTGGTTTGCCCGACGGGGGGCAGTAAATCCACTGAATCAACAATTGCATGAATGAGTTTGCGGGCCCGCGGTGAAACAATGAAAACAAACTGGGCCAGAATCATGCCTTGCCAAGAAGTAATCAACAAAAATAACTAATCAGTATTGCCTTGGAATAGATCTGACTTTGCTTAATCAGCAGCAATGCCTGTAGTTCATAGAAGAAGGTGATTCTTGAACATCTGCATTTGTTTGACGCTGTAATGGTTTGTGGCGCAATCTATTTTTCGTAGCACAAAGCCCAAGATTTCGTGATCCGACAAAGAGTTTTTTGCTCAAGGGCAGCCAGGGTTGGGCCAGGGCTGGTTGTTTGAACAAGTCGTGGCCAATCCATCCAAGGATCAATGTGTACTTCAACGAGGCGACTGGTGGCCGCTACGTTCCCCGCGCCGTGCTGATGGATCTGGAGCCTTGAACCTAAGTTACGCCCTTCCAGCGTCGACCGTTCTTGTTGGACTCTAGATATTCCAGTTTGTAGACGTGTTCAAGCTGGGTCCACTTTTGCTTGGCTGCTCTTTGTTTTGACCTTTAACCTTTCGACCTGTTGGGGGATAACCGTTTCGGCACTCGATAGAAGTTGCTTGACGTGTTGCAAGGGGGTCCTGGCAATTGTTTAAGCGCGCCTTTGGCCGGCGCATTGCCTTAACATTGCCTTAGGTTCAGTCTACTACCTTGATCTTCACTGGGTTCTTCTTTCTTGAAAGAGCAAGTACCTTGCCAAAGATTGAACACCGGAGGCACGTGCATCTGACTTCCACGCTGCCCTTTGGAGCAGTGACTGCCTCTCAGATGCCATGCCTTCGTTGTGTGGCCTTGGCAACTGCCTTCAGCAACCACTAATTCCAACACTCCTTGAATCGGGCCACGTGCCCCATCATTGGATACAAATTACTCTCGATGTGTACTGACATGTAGTTCTTGCATATACTTCCACTGTAGTCCGTGCTGTAGCCTGTGCAAGTGCATTGCCTGGTGGCATGGATGAAGTGGCGTTGATCCATTGCAACTTATTGGAATTATCCTTGACTCGGGCCGTGTGGCCAGCTATAAAACTTCATTACTCCATGCTGTATTCCAATTTAGCGAGTCATGAACGCCACTCTCGCAAAAGTCTGTGCCCCTTGGCATGTGCAAGTGGATGCCTCGCTGCTCTTAGTGCCGCGACCCCCTGCCAGATGCTACGTTACGACGTTGGATGAGTTGTGGCTTTATCACTCTTCCGAGTGGGGCAGGACTGCTCCTCAACCCACAGGCAGCTCGGAGCCAGTAGCAACAGCGATTGTCTAAGGAACCTGGAACCATGGATAGCGTGCGCGCCGGGCCCTTCGGTCAGCTCTTCCGTCCTGACAACTTTGTCTTCGGACAAACGGGGGCCGGCAACATTGCCAAACTCGAGTGAGTTTTGTGCCCTTTTCTTTTTCCTATTGTCTCTTCAAACCGATAAACGCGTAACTTTTTGTAGGCCTCAGTCCAACGTCCAGAGGCAACAATTGGGCCAAGGGCCATTATACGGAAGGAGCTGAGCTCATCGATTCGGTGCTGGACGTGGTAAGCCGCCTTGCTTGATCAAAGTTAAGAGTTCTTGGCTTGGCCAAAGATTGAAACATTGCTTTGCGCTGCCCTTTCTGATTGAGTGTTGCGGGTTTTGTTTGCGTTTGGGCCTAGGGGCCTAGCAACATTGAACATTGCTAGCTGCTTTCCTTTCGAAGCCAAGGAAAGGAGGCAGAGGGCTGTGACTGCCTGCAGGGCTTCCAGCTTTGCCACTCTCTTGGAGGAGGCACCGGCGCCGGCATGGGCACCTTGTTGATCTCGAAGGTGCGTGAGGAATACCCGGATAGAATTATGGAGACGCTCACTTGCCCAAAGCCAAGCTTTTCGTTTTCCAATGTTGGTCTTTCTGTGGTCATGGCTCCAACAGACTAACCGTTATGCTCATGTCTTTGGGCAAGTAAGGACATTCTCGGTGATTCCTTCTCCAAAGGTGTCCGACACAGTCGTGGAGCCATACAACGCCGTTTTGAGCTTCCATCAGCTGGTGGAGAATTCGGACGAGTCCTTCCTGCTGGACAATGAGGCGCACCAGCCGCCAATTGAGCGGCGCCCAAACCCCGACTGGCAGTTGTAGCCTATCGACCCTGTTTCATGCAAAGCTTTAGAATCATGTGGGTAGAGCCATTTGTCAGTACTGCTGCTGATGTGCAAACAACCCTTGGCGCAAAAGCACCGCACTGCGCATTCTCATTTTGAAAAGCTGTTGTTGGGAGGGGCTTTTCAAACCAACGGAGCGTTTCATTGTTTGTTGCTTAGTTTTGTTGGATAGTCGACCATTTGTTCATCTTGCAGTCACCCTTGAAGGCATTGTATGACATCTGCTTCCGCACGCTGAAGCTGACGACACCAACCTACGGTGACCTTAATCACCTTGTGTCGGCCGCCATGAGCGGGGTGACCTGTTGTCTGCGCTTCCCAGGACAGCTGAATTGCGACCTGCGCAAGATCGCGGTGAACCTTGTACCGTTCCCTCGCTTGCACTTCTTCATGACGGGCTTTGCCCCCTTGACCTCCCGCGGGTCGCAACAGTACCGTGCATTGACCGTGCCAGAGTTGACGCAGCAAATGTTCGACGCCAAGAACATGATGTGCGCGGCAGATCCTCGCCACGGGCGCTACTTGACCGCCGCGGCCCTCTTTCGCGGGCGCATGTCGACAAAAGAAGTGGATGCACCTTAGTTGCTCAGTCAGGCGTTTGACCATTTATATTTTCTTGGAACCTGTCTATGTTACATCTAATTCGCAAACACGGCTTTTTGCAGAGGGTGCACTTCAGGAACAGATGCTCAACGTCCAAAACAAGCACCTTGGATGTGTCAATGGTAGCAGGGGTGGTTCTATGCAATTGGGAAACCATTTGTTGAGGGAGACGCCTTCGAAGCTCATGTCATTCAAGAGGAGTCTCTTAATGAGTTGGGTCTTGGTTTTGAAGGGAACCCCTCAACGGGGCGTTCCCAGATTGTCCCCAGAAATTGTTACTAGCAGAATCAAGATGCCCAATTGCCGGCTCGCGGCCAGCGTCTAATTGTGGTGTTTGCGCAAAGTTTTTGTGGGTGATGCCATTCAAGCACCCATTTGGGGGAGGGGTAGCCGAAAACACCAGGGCCATCCAGAGAGCATATAAGGGTCCAGGTCCCAAAATGGTGGCCTTGGTTAATTTAGTGTGCTCAAGGGGTCGTCATGTTCAAAGTTCCTCATGTGTTGCAATTGCAGAACATATGCATGTGTGCCGTCGTTTTGCCAAGATCCTGGATGTTTTACAATTTCTTCGGAAGTTGGCGCGAGGAATTCATCCTATTTTGTCGAATGGATCCCGAACAACATCAAGGCATCGGTTTGCGACATCCCGCCAAAGGGCTTGAAGATGGCAGTCGCCTTTGCTGGCAACTCCACGGCCATTCAGGAGATGTCGGTTGCAACACTTGTTCAAGCCAAACCGCCCCCTTCAAGGGGATGCGAAAAAGAACGTTGCTTGATTGAACAATAGCGGTTTGAAGATGTTTAGATGAGGGCTTGGCCCAACCCTGCACCCAGGAGATGTTCAAGAGAGTGGCAGAGTACTTCACTGCCATGTTCCGCCGCAAGGCTTTCCTGCACTGGTACACTGGAGAGGGCATGGATGAGATGGAATTCACGGAGGCCGAGTCCAACATGAACGACCTGGTTTCTGAGTACCAGCAGTATCAGGATGCCACCGCGGAGGAGGAAGGTGAGTTCGATGAAGAGGAGGGCGAATATGATGGCTGAGTTTCACTTGCATGCGATTGAGTTCAGCTGATGCCGTGTTGAATCAAACATGGCAGCTCGACTGGACGCTTGGTGCGCTTTCAAGAAACACTTCTTGAAGGTGGACACCCGGCAACTGAAAGTCGCTGCAACGCGATAAAGGCTGGCAGCTGATTTGGCGCAGACTTGACCTCCTTTTGAAGGTGGCACAAAATGACAAGGTCTAAGATGTCTAACCAAAGCAATCCAATGTCCGCCGTAGCTAACTCTAAACCCAAGTTAGCCACAACGACAACCCTGAAACGATAGTGAAGCCACCCTAGGCCTTAAAACCCATTTCAAACTGACTCTGGCCCTAAGCCGTTCTTAAGCTACCCCAAGCCTATTTCAAGCCTGCCCTCAACTGGGCCTCAACAAACCCTTGACCAACCCAAGCAAACTGCAAACTGCCAGACCGACCCTAGACTGACTTGAATCCAGCCTAAACCGCCCCTCGACCCCAAAACCAAGCCCAGCCAAACCCGTAAACCCACTGACCACCCTAAATCTACCCCACACACGAATCCGACCCGCTACCCCTGAGCCAGTTCTCAACTGACCGAACGCCTATTTTTCCATTGCATAAAAAAACGCCTGCTTCACCCTCCCTTAACGCACAGGCCACGCCAAGTGCACGGCCAGGCTTAGAGCTGCCAGGTTTGCTTCAAGTCTTGTTCCCCAACGTTCCGTGGAGTTTTTCGGCCGGCCCTAATGTGGGCCCTTGGAGAGTTTTGAGCCACAATCCAGGCCACCGGGTGGGTCAACGAGGCAAAGACACGTGGTTGCGTCCAATGATTTCAATACCGTCCGCAGTGCAAGTCTTCTTTGTTGACACAGACGGCACGAGCCGTATGACCACGAATATAGGCGGACAAAAATCGAAGTGAGGTCCATGAAAGTGTCCCGCCCTAAGTAAAGTTCGCACCCATAGTTGTTCAAAACATATTCCCGTTTGTTAGGTGCCTCACCGGATTTCTGTGAACCTCTCCGTGTACCGCCTGGCCCACCACGTGGCTCCCCGGCGTACAAAAGGTCTGGCAGGCTGCGGGCGCTCCAGGAATCTACTTTGGGAGCTAAATAGATCATATATATATATATATATGGGTGATGTGTCTTTTGGAGCACCTTGGTTTAAACAGAAACCACAAGGTTAACCATCATTTCAGGGGTCCCCGAATTTTGACACATACTATTGTTCTCTCTTCCCGCTAAGGAAGATGCAGATTACAAGGGCATGAATCAGGTGATTGGTCCAGTGTCCCCTTGGCTTCCTGGCAGCGTTATTTAGTGATCCAGAGCGCGGGCGCATCCAATTGTAGGTTTCCGTCACTGGGCATAGCTGGCTACTGGCATACAGTCAGCCTGGTCCCATGTCACGCTTGGCGTGTTGCCGACTCGGGACATGGTGCCGCCTCGGCTTGCTTTAGCCTTTGCAGGGATGGCAGCCGTGGGCCGCAAAAAGGGGCCCTGTGGGCGTGGCTTTCGAAGTATTTGACTGGAAGAAAACCGATCATTTGAAGAGGCCTCTAGTTTGACACACGCCCATGCCTGAGCATCACTGACCATCATGGGCAAGGTCCAGGCTTTGCTGGGGCCCACTTTTGACGGGTCTGAGACTTGCCCCTGCTCTCAAAACAAGTCGTTTTTGGGGGTGGAAACCTGGAAGCCGGCCATTCCTTCCCCAGAATCAGCTCCCCTTTTTGATGTGTTTGCTCTTCTTCTTTCTTTCTTTTTTTGGGGGGGGGTTCATTGGTTTCCACTACCCATGCAAAACATATCGTGTTTTTACCCACGAAGGGTCAATCCCACACATTGCTGAGGTCATTTTCCTGGGCGACAAGGAGTGGGTTTCTGAAGCGTTGGTAATAAGCTATAGTAAGCTGCTTGAGAAAAAGAACAACCAGAGGCCATTCGCGGCAAGAGGCCACATAGTGAGGTGGCCCATTCACCCCGAGCATTGGCAGGAGAAGTGGAATGCGCCTGGGGCTCGGGCGCAAAGTTCAGGGCCGCGAACCTTTCGTTTAGCAGCCCACTCACTCCAATGTGGCTGTATAAACACCATTGTTAGAAAGGGAAACCGGTCTCAGGTGGTAGTTGTCATGATTGGCAGTTTTTTGTTTGGCTAGCTTTCTGGTTGGCTCCTGAAGCGAATGGTAGCGATCGGTACGGAGTTAAGTCAAACTCCCGGGTACGTCCGTGAACTTTGTTACGTCAAAGACTGAATTACCGATGGAATGTTTGCGGCTCGCGCTATTAATGGCTCCCTGGGGCATTTGAGCGACGTTTGAGCGACGTTCTAAAACCCCTACATTTCAATATTGGTATTGTCAGGAAATATCTTCGCGAAAGGGTTTATCATGTGCGTATATGCGAAAGGGTAAAGGCCTGTTTGCCTTCGAAAGGGCAAAGGCCAGAACATGCGAGAAGGAGGTTCAAAACCGCGAAAAGGAACCTCTCATCGGCCGCAGCTGGGCTTAGAACACTGCTTATTTGCAAGAAGTTGTTTAGTGGTAGGCCGTGCCTTCTGGTTACCAATCAAAAGGACCAAGAGGCAGACTCTTTCACATATATGAACTACGGGAGTGTAATTGATTCCGACACCCCTCCCACTAGAGACGTCTACCACGGATTCCCCAATTGGGCCCAGCAGCCAGGCCGGACAGCCCCCAGGCTGACCCAAGGCAGGAGTTACGGGAAGAGCTTTGGCCGACGTGTGCTTCCCCGCCATACCTCTGGGAATCTGCCGTGCCCATTGCGCCGAGAGCGGTTCCCTTCAACCCTTCAGGGTGCATTGGGACAGAAGTTGAAGCCTACCTGACGTTACCGCCCAGCTGGCAGGAGTTGAGGCCGCTGTCAAAGTTGACAACCAGACTATGCACACCCACTTTCTTGGGGACATGAACTTGTGCCATTCGCCAAGCCACTCAGGGAGTGTGTGAAATTGGCCGCGCACTTGCCACGACTCCCTGCCACCCGAGCAAAATGGCCATTCGACAGACCGCTTCATCTCACGCTCGCAGAGGAGCACGCCGGTGTCTGACTTCGCGCTGAAAGCCCTGCCAAAGCGAGTGGCTCAGTTCCAGCAGCTTCTGACTTGAGAGTTTTCTATCGACGCATGTTGAAGCTTGGGGTGTGCTGAGGTATCACGAGTGAGCTTGGGGCTCTGGGGGCAAAGGCTGCATGCGCCATAGGTTTCCGAGATGTGAGTTTCCCTGGAAGGAACAAGGCGATTACATGTGCGGCGTACAAGTCAGCCGGCGTTCATGCTGTGCCCTGCCCAGCGGTTGTACCCGGGCAAGTGGTTTCTTTTGGCGAGCAAGGGCGACGCATTCTTATTTGCTTCTGGTGTCCCTCGGATTTGCGACTCTTCTTTGTGCAATGGTAGGGCAGCTGGCAGGGGCACGTGCTTTCTGTTGAGACATCGCCTTGAAGGGGTGAATTTGCCTTCGCGCATTAGCTTTTTGACGTTCTTTGTTGAGACATGCCCCTGGCTTGTTTTACATGGCCTCCATTTCCATGAGCATGCCTCCGTCGCTGCCTCGCCCAGGCCGAAGCCGACACGGGGTCAAATGCGCGTCAGGAGAGGGTTTGCAAGCATTCGGCATTTGATGGGGATAACTCCAAACATGGACACAAATCCCTATGTAAATGAAGTCCACCGAAGGTTCCCAAAGGCTTTGGAAATGGACCGGTACAACAGCATGTCATGCAGCGGCACTCAGTCGAGCATTTGGACTGGCTGGCCCGCGATCGTTTCGCCTGGGTTGTTCAGAGTCAATCCTTCAACCTTATGGGCTGTGCAGGGTCATGAGGTTCCAACTGGTTTGCAGCTGGCTTAATTACTTGCAACATGTTCGGACTGCACAGTGAAGTTGGCCGGTTTTTCCCTTCAGGGTGAGGTTGAAAGGCACTCTGCTGAATGTGTTGGATGTGTTCGCACGCGGCGCCCTGCAGTCACTCCCTCACCAAGGCGCTCCGGACACGGGGGGAGGGGAAAGAGTTTCCAGGGGTGGAGAGTGATTTGTCAAGGCCACAAAGTCCCTGCCAAATCAGCTAGCGGGCTCGCACAGAACGGGCAAAAGCGGTGCAGTACGTACAGCTTCTGTGCAATGGAACGCGGTCATCGAAAGACTGCAAGTTGTCCAGTAATTGCTCAAGATTCCTCATGTGCAGACAAGTAACCACGCCTCAGTGTTGGTTTCCCTTATGCGAGGCTTTTTTGCAGGCTGGAAGCTTTTGCCGGAACCGGCTCTGCCGCTCAGAAGGGCATGCAGCAAGGACAGGCAGCTTCCATTGCATGCTGCTCTCCTCGCCAGCATCATGCCCGGGATGTGAATCTGGACCCCTCGGCACGGACGAGCCCATGTTTTAGTATATAAGTTGTCCTATTGTTTGGCAAGCAAGATCAAAGGCTGATTTGTTGAGCCCTTTGGCGGCTGATTTCCCACAATGAAGCCACGGTGAATGAACCCATAAACTAGGGGTTCATACCAGGGGTTCCTTTGCTGGCACCGCGCGGCAGACGCTGCAAACTGATATCACTCCTCTGGAGTTCGTCACGGAGCAAAGATACGCTGCGCCCTCAGCTGCGGGGGGTGTTGAGGGGTACCCCCCCCCTCTTGGCCTTATCCTCAAGCAGGGTTGTGGGATCAAGGGGTGCATCCCACTTCTGTGATACAAGGGAATTTCCTGTTTATAAAGGGGGGTCTTTGGAAGGCCCTCCTTGTTGTATCACAGAAGTGGTCATTTCCCACAGCCCTGTCCTCAAGGCTTTTTTTGATCGCTTGATTGCCAGCACGACACAGTCTTTGTTTGACTTTTCTGGGCATAGTGGATGGTCAAACTTACCAGGTGGTGTTGCATTTGTGTTATTTTTTCTCCGGCACCTGGATAAGAAGGATATGCAGCAAGCTTTGCTGATTCTGGATTGCAACAGGTTTTAAATCGGAGTGCTGGGCCATTTCAGCGATTGCTTTGACTTGGCTGAGTGGAGAGTTTCCGGACGAACCCAGTTCTTCAGTAGAATCCACCCCTTGTCCCTTTTCGCTCCAAACATGTCCGTAGTAAAATTTGATCCAAATCCGAAATTCCCAACAGCCTCCAGATGTTGGGTTACAATCTCTCTAGCAGGGTTGAGTGGCGCTGATTTGTTCAGACATTTTGAAAATGCAA